CTTGAACTTTAATTTTTATGCCTGCCTATAGCTGTGCCTATAAGAATAGTATTATCCGCGTAGCAGTTTCACTGGTAAGGAATGGAAATCTAAATAGGGTTGAGAAACAAATCCCAGCGCTCCGGTTTTATCTTATTACGTTTCAATCCTTTTCTGCCAAATTGTGGCAGCACTTGTTAGCAAGCAAACGTGAATGAAATGGTTATTGCTGAATATAGAGGATGCAATATATTGTGATTGAGGACCTAGGACTGATAGCTGCACTAGTTGATGCACAGACAGCCACAGTACGGTCAGCTGCCTTACACTAGGTTCAGTGGTCCAAGCCCTTGGTCACTGTGTTAGGGTGATCAACCTATCATTCCACTGACGGTCACACCATGGTCCAAACATGTTATTGCCATCGTCCATACTATGGCCAGACGACAGTTGGAAAGTGCTATACGTGAATGGATTGTGACTAGTCGCGTATAAGTAGAATCACTCGGGCAGCTATTTGCTGTAGCTGTACTATGGTGAGCCGAAACTGTGTGAATGCTACTACCACTGCGTACTACTAAATACTACCATTGAGTAAGTTAGTGGACTGAAACGATCTACATAAATTTAGATTCCATCTAAGTACTGTGGCCGTACCATAGTTAGTCTGAAAATACTATAAGTGATTAGATAGAACCACAGCAGATCTGTGATTATCCTTGCTGTAACGATATCTAATGTCATGTGTTGTAGAGCAGAGCAGGGGTCGTCAGACTCAGATGAAGGTCAGACAAGGAGACACTCCAAACCACGCAGGCTCAAGAAGGAAGGCAAATCAGGTTCGTGCATGCTACCCACCACAGTCAGGGCCGTAGCCTGTGGGGAGGGGCAAGGGGGCAGCTGCCCCCTTAGATTTTGGAGCAAAATTTGAAGAAAAAAAAAATTAAAAGCTCGGCTAATAATCGTAAATAATTCTAAAGTGATTTTTTTGGTCACTTATCCGTGAAAGCCTTGTCTCAGACCCACCCCTACCACACTATGGACGTCGATCAAGAGCTGCGCCCGTCGCTCATCGTTACACAGTTGAGTCATGAAATTTTGCCCCCCCCCCTAGGAATTTGCTCAGCCAATGACCCTGACAGTGTGACTTTTCTACTACTGTTTATTTGGAACACGAAAAAGATTTGCAGGGTCTAAACCTAACATCAGGGGTAGAGGATTGAACATATATGATATTAGATATTTGATCATAATCTGCTTAATCATGAACTTTGGTAGTCCAGATGTAATAGAAGTATCTGGCTCCTTATCTCTTTAAAAAGTTCTTTCGCAGACTAAAATTAGCGGCAAGTATGCTTTATTTTTATTCCTGTCAGTGCTAATTTATCATGCTGAGTTGTTAAATTTCTTATCGTGTTCTATTCATAGAACACGATCTGGAGTGAATAATGGAATCTGGAGTGAATAAATCTCATCATATCGTGGTCTCAGTATCAGTGACTAAACGTGCATGAATTGTCTTTGTCTGAGACCCATTGTTAGAAACAAAATTAGTCTTAATATTAATTATTCTCATAGACATTCTCATGATACCTCACAGAAACATGATAAAGTTACAAGTTTATTATACACAGTGTATAGACGTCCAGCCTAAAACATTACATTGGCTACGTCACGAATTTTCTATGGTGTATATTTGTAAAATTGTTGTTGCAATTTTTTTTTACATTAAAAGTAAGTACTAACGGGGGATTAAACGTATCCTCAAATTCTTACCTGATAAGATTGTTTCTCAACTAGTTAAAAATCCAACAAATCTGGGTGATTTGATATATTGATCCTGACATTAAATGCTTGCTATGGGCTATGTATGAGTCACGAGTGTTTGTTCACATCGAAGGAAATAGCAAAATAGGAAGTATAATGCAGCAATTTAACCATGAAAAGTGAACAGAATCACTTACATTTTGTGAAAAAGTGGACATCATTTTTTACTGTGACATAATCACTTTAATGTGTTGGCTAATCTTGCTTCTGACACTGGGTCCCTGGCTCTCTCTCTCCCACTTACTGCTATCATCAGCCATGCAGTAGTTGTCACCAAGGCGACCTGTGATAGGCAGGGAATCTTACCTGTCCTATGAATGTATTACGCAGGTGAGACGCCCTCAACCGACCCGGACTCGGGATCGAGACGCAAGTCGTCTCGCGAGGCGAGCCCAGCTAAGGCGACGCGTAAGTTTCATGTTAGGTTTCAACAAAGGAAACAGTTGGTCGCTGCTCTCAGTATTGTGGTGGCCGTGTTATAGCATGGACATGTGTGCTATGTCACGGTGAACGATGTTATACCATGGACATGTCTGCTACGTCATGGTGAACGATGTTATACCATGGATGTGCATGCCATGCCATAGTGTACCACGTTATACCATGGATGTGCATAGCATGGTAGACCATGCTCTATATTATTGACGTGCATGCTATGCCACGCCTGACACCTTTTTACCATGGAAAGGCATGCTATGCCATGGTGAACCGTGTTATAATATGGACATGTGTGCTATGCCATGGTAGACCGTGTTATAATATGGACATGTCTGCTATGCCATGGTGAACCGTGTTATAATATGGACATGTGTGCTATGCCATGGTAGACCGTGTTATACCATGAACGTGCATGCGATGGCACAGTTAAAGCAGTGTTCTGTCATGGACAGCTGGCATATGCAATAGACAGCTGTACCATATCATGGATGATCATGCTGTAATATATGTAATCCATAGCACTAAAAATAGAGTCTCTAGTCTTATCTGTTTTTGATTGGACTACTTTACTAAGAGTGGAATCTCGGCTCGGATGACCATGTAAAATGGCGGTCCCGTCTCCAGAAGTTCTAGCCAATGGGGACGTAAAAGAACCACTGAGGACACAAAGGAACTCTGGCTGTGACCACCCTCAGTGCCATTGGCTAAAAGCTGACTACCTGGCTTTACCCAAGCTAGGTCACACCTCATGGCTAGCTATAGCCCGTTGCCTCGATGCCAAATTTGGATACTGCAACGTACTACAACAGAAACAGAAAGAAAACAGAAAGAGTATTAATGCTATACCTTAGTTTGTTCTCTATTTCACGGACTGTACACTATATGGACAGATACACAACAACACCTATGCTACAGTATGAACAGTGCAACAGGATAACTGTAAGGATCTTATGGCGATACTATACTTAGGCAAGCTACGTTCTCGCAGACAGACGTCAAAATGACTTAATCAGGAAATTAGTGTTACTACATGCAGGCCACTGATCTCTATTATCCTATACGTTAGTATAGTAGAGATCAGTGATGCTGGCACGCTGTTTGTGTTCATTTTCCCCACCAGGTGGCTCTGATGTGTGCGATATTGGATTCAAAACATAAGCTGGGTTAACGTTGGGAACACATGAATGAAAGTAACACTACCAAGCAACCAATTACCCAGCGAACACTGTTCTCATGCCAAATTTGACGTGATGAATTTGAAATTAAAAACTGTTAAAATGATAGCAGCATGTGACGTAAAATTGCTGAGACACACTGAAGCATGGGTCCATTTAAAGTATATTTCGGAGTAGCGATAAGAAAATAGTTGACTCTACACCCCACACGTAAGCTTAATGTAGTCGAGTGTCACATGGATGTCACCCCACTCTCCTACCTTCACTCACTTCACCCACCGCGACATCAGTTGTCAGTGGTAAAATCATCGAAAATGTCCGTTTTTAGCTCACATTGACATCGTGAAGATGAGCTATTGCCATGGGGCGTCGTCCGTTGTACGTCCGTCCGTCCGTCCGTCAACATTTGGCTACGGTCAACGATAACTTGAGAACTGTTTGACCCACATGTTTCAAATTGCATGCAGTTGTTACTCTTTTGGGAGAGATTTGAACGTCCTATTTTGGAGCACGCCAGTTGACCTACATTCGAGATACGTCCACTTTTTGGCAAAAATTAAAATGGCTATAAGTCCGTTCAGGTTCAATGGATTTTGCTCATTTTTGGTATGTGAATGAATAAGGACTCGCCCCAAAACATATCACACGGCTTTTGATATTTTTGTTAAATTATGCAAATTAGGTAGATTTTGGCAATTTCAATATGCATTTCAGTGTCTGCCTACGGTCAATGATAACTCAAGAACCGTTTGACCCACATGTTTCAAATTGCATGCAGTTGTTACTACCATGGGAGAGATTTGGACGTCCTATTTTGGAGCACTCCAATCGACCTACTTTTGAGCCATGCCCACTTTTTGGCAAAAATGAAAATGGCCATCTAGATTCATTTAATTTTGTTAAAATTACCTACCTACGCTAAGCTAATCATACGGCTACGTGGTAATATGTGTTTTAGATTCTTCTTCGTTAGCAGTAATTTCACTTGAATATTTTATTGCTTTTATTTGCGCGATAGTCAAAAACCAAAATGGCGATCATTTAGGCGTAGCGCCATCTCTCGCCCAGATTTCAGACTTTCAGATCTGAAACATTTATTTTCGCATCAAAACTACCCCTGAAACAAAACAGTGAAATTTCTATTAGTATAAAACAGGGAATAAGGACATTTGATCACATTTCGGTCCATCATAAATGAAACGCACACCAAATTTTAAATATCATCTCCCTCTTCTATCACACCCAAGGTGAGCTATAGTGTCATTGACTTCAAGCAGTGGGACAGCAAATAAATGAGGCCACACGTCGTGGTCCAAAGATATAAGAACTGTCCACGTGTGCACATTTTCACATGTCGCACATTGCGAAAATGAATTGGGGACAGCTCTTATAGCCCACGTCGTTATACAATTGTGTTATAGTACTTCATAGTTGTTCTAATTCGTAGTTACGTACTTCATATACGTGTGTAGCTAATGCAACTAAAGATTCTCTTCCACCGCGCCCCTGCTCGCTTCAGCCCCTATCGACTAAACCTGCTGGTGGTAAAATCACTGAAAATAGCCATTCGCAATGACTTCACTCAGTGGTTCGCCAGTGAAAGGGGGTTAATCACCGAAAATAGCAATTTTAAAAATCTTGCAAGCAGATGGGCGGCACATTGTGGCAGATTCCGCACCGCATGCTCGCACAGGCCGATAAAAATTTATTGCACAGGGGCGGCGCACAACAGGACCATATGTAGCGGCATAAGATGGGGGAGGTGGTGACAAGGAAAGTGGGGTGGTGGCGGTAATGGATGGGGTGAAGGCCAGGTGTAGGGATAGTAGCAGGAGGCAAGGGGGAGGAGCTTGGCGACTGTGGGTGGGTGGGGGTAGTAACCAGGAGGGAAGGGTGTTGGTAGAGGGCACTGACATCGATATTTCCGGCAGTCACTGAATAACAAACGGCGCATCTGTACCGCATCCAGGATCCGCGAAGAAACCAGCGATAGCTGCATCGTCAGAGGTGGCATCCGCGCAGACTCCGAAAGCCTTCGTCGAGTACGTCGACACGTCGCTATCCACGCCCGCGCCCCCTAGTGGCACCGAGCAGAAGCAGGTCAGGGAGGAGAAGAAGAAGGAGGAGAAGGCGGCGGCAGAGAGGAGGGGGAGGAAGGAGCTTTACGATGCTGAGTTGAAGAGGCTGAAGGATAAGAGCGCAAAGAGAAAGTCAGCGCTGAACTCACCTGCGAATAACACGTGTAAGTGAAGCTTTGTGTGGTGGTGGGGGAGCGGGTGCTGTGCTGTGGGGGGGGGAGGGATTGCTGTGTGGTGGGGAGGGCGTGCCTGTGTGTGGTGGGGGAGGGATGCTGTGTGGGGGAGGGAGGGGTGCTGTGTATGTGGGGGAGGGGTGCTGTTGTGGTGGGGGGAGGGTGCTGTGTGGGTGGGGGAGGGGTGCTGTTGTGGTGGGGTAAGGGTGTGGTAGCTAACATGGCACGTAATATATACTGCGGTGTTAGGCTGTGTTCGCCGTCGTGTGGGTGTGCATAGTTGATGTCAGTGGGTGTGGCTAGTTATTTGCTGCCAGCTCAGTTCTATCGGGTATGTGCCGCCTCGCAAAATCCACAGATTTAACCTCGAGAGCTTCATGAAGAGCGAATAAACAATCGTAAAACATTTAGTGTTGGCGGCTTGAAGTCACACCACAGACGCCCGCGCCCTGGAACGTGTGCGGCACACGTCACACGTATGTTCCTACTGCACGGGCACATATGACGTGCATCGGCACAAACCCACGTGCACGCACGCAACACACCACGTGGCTACGCGACGCACCACGCCAAGTTTCACACACCGGCATCGTTCATCTTCTCATTTGAGGGCACTTTATTTTCTTCGGCGCTTGGCACCCAACTGGCGCCACATGCGAGCATTGAACTTGCGCATGAAATTAACGTGTGGTGTGTGTGGCGTGTGGGTGTGTGTGTGTGTGTGTGTGTGTGTGTGCCTGTGTGGCGTGGGACGTGCGTGCGTGTGCGTGTGCGTGTGGGTGTGGTGTGTGTGTGTGTGTGTGTGTGTGTGTGTGTGTGTGCGTGGGTGCGTGCGTGCGTGCGTGTGCGTGTGTGCGCGAGCGTGCGTGCGTGCGTGCGTGCGCTGCGTGCGCTGTCAGGTGATAAACATGGCTCAGCAGCAGCGCGCGCTGTAAACGGTTTCTCTCGTTGTTTATAGCTCTCCGTAAATCCAGCTTTTTAGCTGCAGCACCGCTCACTCCCGTGCCTCACTCGTGGCACATACCGCGGCCGTGAATATTGCTGTGCGCACGTGTCGGCGCCCGGCGACGGACAGGAATGGAAAGGCACCCACCGTCCGTTTGGACTCGCACCACCTAAGATAGTTGTTCCGTAGATAGAAGTTCCGTAAGATTCCATAAGATTCCGTAAGATTCCGTAAGATTCCGTAAGATAGAAGTTCCGTAGATTCGCACGTCTGTTTACGTGCGTAGGTGCGTGCCTGTGTGTGCGTGCGTGCCTGTGTGTGCGTGTTCACATGCGGCGTAAATGTGTGGACGTGCGTGCGTGCGTGCGTGGGTGCGTGCGTGCGTGTGTGTGTGCGCGTACGTGCGTGGGTGCGTGCATGTGTGAGCCTGTGTGTGTGCGCGTACGTGCGTGCGTGTGTGTGTGGTTGACTGCGTGCGTGGGTGAGTGAGCGTATGTCTGTGCGTGCGTGCGTACGTGCGTGCGTGCGTACGTGCGCGCGTGGGTGAGTGAGCGTATGTCTGTGTGCGTGCGTGGGTGAGTGAGCGTATGTCTGTGTGCGTGCGTGGGTGAGTGAGCGTATGTCTGTTTGCGTGCGTGCGTGCGTGCGTGCGTGGGTGAGTGAGCGTATGTCTGTGTGCGTGCGTGGGTGGGTGAGCGCATGTCTGTGTGCGTGCGTGGGTGAGTGAGCGTATGTCTGTGTGCGTGCGTGGGTGGGTGAGCGCATG